AATAAAAAAAAAATTAAAAAAAAAAAAAAAAAAAAGAGAAAACCAAAACATTACTGAGAAAAAGAAGTTCCAAATAGGAGATACCATCCTCGTGATTCAAAATGTAAAATTTTCATATTTCTTCATACTGCCATATTTCTTCAACTGCACAGGTTGAATATTATCCCATTCAAAACCATAGGTTGATTTTGATATATGAAAAGTTGATGTTTATATAGAAATTTGAAGGTCCCAAATGGGCAAAGACATTCTGTAACAATGTTTCTTTCTTTGTTGGTTAAGACTTGTTGTAGAGTTATACTAATCAAGTTAGTATAGTATTGCATCAAAGTAGATGTATAAACTAATAGAATAAAATACAGAACCCTGAAACAGACCCTCAGTCAGTATATGACAAAAGTGTCATTAATGTAGAGAAATGCATTCTTATAACAATCCACATGGAAAAGAAGATACTCAATTCCTGTTGCATTCTGCATACACTTAACTTTAGGTGGTCTATAGGCCTAAATGTGAAAGGTATGATGTTGAACTTAGATCAATATTTTTTTAACTAGTTGTATGAATTACTGATTACTAAGGAAAAATATTTTAAGATTTGACATTGAAATTAGAACTTTTGACCGTATTAACCAGGTATGATGGTATACATATTATCCCAGTACTCCAGAGGCTAAGGCTAGAGGATTACAAGTTTGAGGCCAGCTTGGACAATTTAGAAAAACTCTGTTAAAAATAAGATAAATAAAAAGGACTAGGGATGTAGCTCAGTGGTAGAGCATTTGTCTAGTAAATGTACGGGGCCCTGGGTTTTGCAAATAAAAAGAAGAAGGAATATTCCCAATACTGCAAATAAAACAGAAAACTTAATTTGATCAAAAAAGTTTACTATGAGAATGAAAAGCAGATGGAGAGTTTGAAAAAAGTAATTGGAATGTGTTTAACAAGCAAGATTTATGCCCAAAACATATAAATAAATAATAAGAGAAAAAAAATAATCTAGTAGACAAATAAGGGACAAATGTGAACACTACTTCGCGAAAAGATGTCACATGGCCAATAAATAGATAAGAATGGGAAATGCAGATTGGAAGCATAATAGAATAATTCTGTATCCCAAATGGATTAGCAAATTTTTAAAGTCTGACAATACCAAGTATAGTGAAGAGTGTGGCATTAGTAGGTAAAAATTGGTATAACTATTTCAGAAAACAGTTATGAGGGATCCTTATGAAGTCATGCCCTTCCTCTGCTTAGGATTCCCCAGTGTCTTTTCCACTTACATATCATAGAATCTGCAGTGGGACTCAGCAAAGTCCTATCTTTTTTGGCTCTATTGGAGCCACCCTGGCTTCTTTGGTGTTCAGACGTGCCAGTCAGGTTTTAGTACTTTACATTATCTCTCCCTGAAATGTTTTACCCCCAGATAAAGCCCTCACTTTATTTTAGAATGTTCAAGATTCCTTTTCAGAGAGTCGCCTCCTGATACCATGATATAAATTAGGACTAGCTTCTTCTACTCTTTACCCTTGCTTTGTTTTCTCCGTAGCACTTTAAAGTACTTGGGCAGAGGGTGAGGTCGCAGTTCATGTGTGTACTGGGTCTTGAACCAAGGGGTGCCCTACCACTACGCTACATCCTCAGCCCTTTTTATTTTTATTTTGAGAATAGGGTCTTGCTGTGCTGCCACTGGCCTGAAACTCCTATCCTTCTCCTTCAGCCTCAGTAGCTGGGATTACAGGCATGAGCTACAGCATCAGGCTCTTACTTTTAACTCTTTGACACATGTATTTTGTGTGCCTTCCCTAACTAAATTTGGAAGTGTTACGAGAGTAGTGTCATTGTTTTTCTCCCTACTGTATTTCCTGTCCTAGAACAGGACCAGGCATATTGTAGGAAATATGTTTTTAAATGGAGAAGCCAGTGAGAAAGACTCAGAAGTACCTTCATATCAGTGTTAGTTCTTTTCATTGATTTGTGGTTTTGTCCTAGGATATAAATGTTTAAATTATTATATTAATATACCTTTATAATAAATATAAACTAGCTTTTTCTTTTTCTTTTTAAAATTTTTTTAGTTGTTGGATAGACCTTTATTTTATCTATTTATTTTTATGTGGTGCTAAGATTCAAACCCAGTGCCTCATACATGCTAGGCAAGCGCTCTACCACTGAGCCACAACCCCAGCCCACTAGCTTTTTCAATTAAAATTATAGATTTGTGTTCTTTCTAATTCACTTGGCCACTAGATATTTACAACTTAGAGAATCATAATCTTTATAAACAAAGGGGACGAAATATGGAAGTTATTGAATACAGTTGAAATAATATAGATTTTGCATAAAGTGAAAGCATTTCCAAATTGAATATATACATTCCTTCCTGAAAGTTTTTTATTTTTTTTAAATTGTCTCTCTCTCTAAGTGGGGGCAGGCGAGGTGGCCAACTTCGCTGCATATGCCTTTGCACCAGCCACGCTAGTGACTCCACTGGGAGCTCTCAGCGTCCTCGTAAGGTAAGGACACAACCTTTCACATATGCCAACAATAGTCAGTATTTTGATCTGTATTCAGTGCTGTCTAATTACATGTATTCAGCATAACTTAAATTTCAATAGACTCGATAATTATTTTTGTACTGTGTAGTAATTTGCTCTTCAAAAGTTATCCTCTGCATAGGCAAGTTGTTAATTTATTGGGGGAAGATGATTTTGTGCTTTGTTTTGTATTCAGAGCCAATACTAGTTCTTTGATTTCAATTTTTGAAAATTTGCATTTGTCCCAACATTTAAGTGTATGTATACTTTGGTAGATCATGGTTGCTGATGAATAGATTTCTACATCTAGTACAGAAAGCCAGGGTGAGGTTCCATGCCTTTGAAGACTGGCCTGAGGTGCTTGTCAGTCTAAGGCTTGTTCTGTTTCTGTTTTAATGATTATTTCAAACAACTAAGCTCATTTTGAGGTCTGAGTTTTGGTTAGGATTTGGAAAGTTGACTGACTATAGTTAGGTATTATTTTTCTTCTTTGTTTTTAAGAAACTGTATGTAAAATAGAGTTATGATATAAGCCTTTACCCTTAACTTTCCTTACATTACACCATTATTTTATTTATTGGTTTATACTATATTTTCTTTTTAGGTATGGATAAACCTGTGGTGTTAAAACATAATTTATAAACAAATTTTGCTTTTAACAAATTCCTTGTTTCTTTTGCTTTTAACTCCACATTTCTAAATAACAGGATAATTAGTAGGCAAATTATATGAAGTTAAATGAACACATAAGTGGAGCGCATGAATTTTTAGGGATAAATTAAAGTTGAGCAATTTTTAATGGTTTGGATATAGAGTCAATTAGAACTTAAGTTGTACAAACTATAGCTCTTTTATTGTGCATTTCATATGGACTTTTTCCTGTAGAAAGATGATAAATACCATCTTAGTGTATAGTGTATATACAATCTTATGGTATATATACAATCATATACTTTTTTTTTTTTTTTTTTTTTTACTTTGGCTGAAGACCAGATACTTCATAAGCTCTCAGTGTTCTAGTGTGGGTTCAGTAATTTTAAATTATAAGTTTGTTGATATTTAAAAATGAGAAAAATAACTGATATTTGAAAGTTCTCAGCATTCTTTTCTCCCCATTTTAGTGCCATTCTTTCTTCATACTTTCTAAATGAAAGACTTAATCTTCATGGGAAAATTGGATGTTTGCTAAGCATTCTAGGATCTACAGTTATGGTCATCCATGCTCCAAAGGAAGAGGAGATTGAGACGTTAAATGAAATGTCACACAAGTTAGGTGATCCAGGTAAGAATAAAAGAAAAGCCTTTATTCTTACTTTACTTTTGTAAAGTAAAATAAAAATATCCCCACTAACTACTAGAGAATATTTTAACTGCTGAGCTCCATCGCCAGCCCTTTTATATTTTATTTTGAAACAGGGGTTTTGTTTTTGTTTGTTTTGGTTTTTTGTACCAGGGATTGAACCAGGGGTGCTTAACCACTGAGCCACATCCCCAGCTCGTGTGTGTGTGTGTGTGTGTGTGTGTGTGTGTGTGTGTGTGTGTGTGTGTTACAACAAAGCAGTTTATTTGTGATCATGTTTGAGTCTCTATATGTCCTTCACAAATTCAATTTTATATAATCTGATACTTTCTTAAAACTTAAACTTTGAACTTCTAGACTTTTATTTCCTTAGAACAGAAGGGCTGGTATAAATTATTTTCCAGAAATGAGGTACCATTTCACAGAACTGGTTTCTCTTTTTTTTGCAAGATTTTTGTTTGTTTGTTTGTTTTGATGGTGCTGGGGATTGAACCCAGGGCCTTATGCATGTGAGGCAAGCACTCTACCAACTGAGCTATATCTCCAGCCCCTGTTTCCAAGTTTTAAAGAACTAAATTTGTATTTGTTAAAATCAAAAAAAGTAGGAAGGATGATCTTTACAAATAATTTTGATTAAATATGTGTTCAAAGAAAGCAGGATAAAAAGTCTTTTTCTTTAATATTCTGTATTATACTATATTGATGTTCAATAGGAATGAGCTTCTGTCATTTGCTTTGAATGAGTAGTGGGGAATGGGATATGTTGGGAATTTCATATCAGGTAACAGAATCATTCTCTTGGGCAAACCATAAGCAGGGGCAGCTGTTCTGTAACCATATGGTGTTCCATAGCCTGGAGCTATGTGGCCAGGAGCTGCTATAGCCCCAACAAAAGCTCCCCTTGTCAGAGTTCCTCTTCCTCTGCCCCTAACTACCTGGAATGCTGCAGACACACCTGTATTCATGACACCCTTTGCCTGAGGAATAATCTTCTTTTTCTTATTATTTGCCACATTGGGTCCAGAAAATAGCTTCTCCAGGGCAGCTAAGGCTGCATTTGCCCTGGCCGTGTATCATTTGGACCTGTGCCTCTGAATTTCTGTCCATCTACTTTTACCTCCATTACAAAGCGCTTGTCATGGTTTCCAGCAGTTTCTGAGATGAGTTCATTCTTGAGACCTCTTCTTTTTTCATTGAGTTCCATTATAGGATTTTTGCCACTTGCTGTTAGGGTAGGGCCCTGAGTTCTTACTTCTAAGGTACTGGTGGTTTCAGTTATAGAATTTCCAGTGTTATTGCTTGAATTTGAAGACACTGTTTCATTTTTGCTTTTATTATCTGATTTTTCATCAGAACTCATACATTCAATATCTGCATCAAAGCCTGTTGGAGATCCCATTCATTGCCTATAATGCATTTACTGCTGCGTGAAGTTTTACTGTTTTCTTGGAAGGTCCCGAGATGTGCTATCCACATCTACAGACATTGTAAAGATGGCAGGGCCAGACTAAGACAGGAAGCCCAGGCCTGATCTGATTTAGCTTCATTAGTGCATTTATAAGGTCTATTACTTTACTATCCAGGATTTTCTTTAGGTTTTGTTTCATCTTCTTATTAGGATCTTTTCTTCTTGGGGTGGGGGAAGGCATAGACCACTGAGCCACATCTTCAGCCCTGTTTTGTATTTTATTTAGAGACAGGGTCTCACTGAGTTGTTTAGCACCTTACCATTGCTAAGGCTGGCTTTGAACTCACAATCCTCCTGCCTCAGCCTCCCAAGCCAGGTGAGCCCAGTCTATTTTGGCAACTTTTGATTAAAGATATAAAAGAAAATGTGAAGATTCTGAGTGCTGTTTTCCTTCTTCAGAGAGAACTTAAATTCTCTCTAGCAGAAACATAGAAGTCCAGCAGATCACTTTCACCCTGGTGTTGTTGTAAGCTTAATTAGGTCTGGTTTTCAGTTTGCCTTTTTTTCTTCATATCACTCTGGCTTTCAACTGGTAGCTTGGGCTCCTTCACTTAGGAAGTTGTGAGCTCCTGTGTCCACTCAGTACCACAAGACTGCTGATATCTCAGTTCAGC